TCGGCCCTGGCAGGGGATGGGCAGCTCAGTCCCACCATCCCCACTGCAGCACAGAACTGCCCTGCCTTTTGCCTTTCAAAAATGAAGGAATTGCCTGCAGGAAAAGAATCTGGCATGAGGACACGAGCAAGTCCTGCAAGACCCAGCGCTCAGTTTTAGGAAGTTGAATTTGAGATTTCACTGGCAAGTTCCATCACGGATTTTTGGACCATGAGCCATCGTTCCGGTCACTGACTCTGATCTTCAAATCAGGAACATCAACAAACAAAACCCTCTTCCAAGCATTTCTGTATCAAGCCCCAAACCCACAGTTTAGAAGGAAATTCTCCTCCAGACCCAGGTGCTCCAGAGAATGACAACATCTCCAGCAAGGCTCTTCCAGCCGTTAATTACCCCGTTAACTCACACACACCTGGTAACGGGTCTCGGGTAACTGTGTAATCACGGCGCACGTTTCACCGGGAGCAGGACTTATCCCGGTGTCTGGCAGGTAATCGGGGAATGCAGCCCAGATAAGGAAGTCTGTGGGATTCCTGCTCCAAATCCCCAGAGAAGGCCCAGAGGAGACAGGACAGGGGTGTGGCTGGAACAGGCAAAGCCCCCGAGGACACACAGCCTCCAGCCCCATTCCAGGGCCCTGTGGACACCGGGCGAGCTGTGCCACAGCCGGGTGCCGGCCACCCCTCGCCCCTCATTTGGGGTCACTCTGGGTGCTTAGGGGAGCCCCATGTGCCTGAGCAGTGCACCAGAACCCGGTGTGTGTGTTCTCACCTTCCCCAGCAGCAGGAGGATCCACGCAGCAGAGGAGTTGCTAAGAGACGCACTCGCTCCCACCAACGTGCCCAGCAGCCGCTCCCACGGCCGGGGGCGCGGGACGGGACATGCGACACCACGGGCGGTGGGATGTTCCCACGTGGGGACAACGGGCAGGGACACAGTGCCCGGAAGGGCTCTGCCCAAGGAGGTGACCCCGTGAGCACCTCAGGTGTGGCCCCACCGTGTCTCAGCCAGCAGTTCCTCTGCCCCACAGTGTGGGAATCACACGCGGGATCAGACCATGTCACCAGGGACCTCGGGGCTCCCACCACAGCCCCCATCAGAGGCACACACAAGGGAGAGCTGCAGAAGCCCCAAGGGAACAGACAAAGGATGGTCCTCCCCAACCAGCCCACCCCAAACCCAGAGGGACCAGGAAGACCCTGATACGCTGGCTGAGCCACTGCCATGACCTGTGCCAGCCCTGCACTCCCACCCATCTCCAGCACAAGTCTCTCCCCTCCTCTCCTCAAATTCCATCGATCCATCAGCCTTCCATGGCTGAAGACCTCCACAGAGGTGGCGAAGCCCCCTCCTCTTATGGGTTTAAAATTGACCCTGTCCTGACCCCACGGAGTGTCCTTTGTCCTTGCACTGCGAGGCCAATGAAACAAATTCTGGGATTTACATTCCCTGGACTATGCAACCTTTCAGACTTTTGTTAAGGTCCCTCTTCCTTCCCTCCTTTCCACAGAAACCCCCAAAGACCCAGGTGGGGTGCAGGCCTCCAAGAGGCACCCAGGCTGGCTGCCACCCCCATGCAGCATCACTGCTCCTGCCGGCACCCCTTCAGCAGGGCCACTGCTCCCCAAAACTGCCCCTGCAGTGACACTCCCGGTGTGAGGCAGCAGGAGAAGAGCTGAGCACGCTGCCAACACCCAGCAGGGACAACAAAACCCAGGGCAGGGAAACGGCAGCGCTCGGTGAGCACCGAGCCAGACCAGTGGCACCAGTGGTCCTGCAGCTTTTTCCCTGCCTGGGGTAGCGCCGGCTGCAGAAACCCGGAGCTTTGGGCTCACCGAGGGCAGAGGGACCTTTCGCGTGAGGGGCTGCAAGAGCCTCCTGGCCCACTGTGGGCCTCAGCACAGCACTGCAAACCTTCCCCTCCCCTGGCTCTACCGCAACCCCTCGCCCATCCCGGTCCCCCGGCTCCATCCCGGCCTCCAGCTCCATCCCGGCCCCCCAGCTCCATCTCAGTCCCTCGGTTCCACCGCAGTCCCTCGCCCATCCCAGCCCCCCGGCTCCATCCCGGCCTCCCATCTCCACTGCGGTCCCTCGCCCATCCTGGTCCCCCGGCTCCATTGCAGCCCCTCGGCTCCA